CATTTATACACCATTCGATAGCCCTTTTCAAGGGCTACATTCTAGACTATTTGTTTTTGAAAAAGGAGCAAGTTCGATTTTTCACCCAATGTCCGCCTAGATGCCCACTGTGTACTTGTTGTATTATTGTCAGTTACATTATAGAATGATAGACAACTTTTATCAATGGCATATGGTCTGTACATTAGAAAATAGCGTTAGCAAAACTAATAAAAAATATTGACTAATTACTAACGGCTATGTTATTGGCATAAGTATGGCTTAACATCTTAGAGTTTTAATGAATTATATAAAGTGAGTAAAATAATAACTCTAGCACACGTTTTTTTGCCTTATTTCATGTTAAAAACTAAAAACTATCATAACAAAATTAGCATTAACAAAAAAAACGAACTAAATAAATTAAAGTACAAAAACTAAGCTCAATTGCAAAAAATTCCAAACTATATATCGTTGTTTGGGTATATAAAACAACAGGGACATCGTAATGTCTGATATTATACATGCTTTTTCCTATGAAGCGCCAAATGATCTGAACGCGCAAATTTTCTATCGCAAAGTCTACATTGATATGGTTTGTCGCCAGTATGTTTTCTGTAGTGACGGCTTAATTCATCACTTCGAGAAAAACACCATCCACATGCTGTGATACCATCATTCCAAGGACACGCGTAAGGTTTCTCCCCTGTATGTGTACGCTCGTGCGCCTTTAAATGTGAACTTTTAGTATAAGTCTTTGTGCATTCATTAAATCTACATATATGTATTAGTGGCTGTCGATATTTTGTTCGAACAACTCGTTTTTGCACACCATTTGGTTTCATTGTTGACAAAAGCTTTTTCGTTAGTTTTCCTCTCTGAGTTTTTGTTAAACGGTTTTTGTTTAACGGTGCTTGAGTAGTGGCTGTAGAAATGGAATTTTCCGGAGGAGTGATTATTAATTCAATCGAGTGATCAATAATTTCATTTGATTTTTCATCGTTGCACAAAAAACTGAAATGATCCACTTCTGGTATTTCTCTCAATGGACGTTTTTTTAGTGGAGGAGGCGACGAAGATGGACAAGAAAGAGGAGAAAATGTTGTTCGCGATTGGTATTGGTCATCAGTGTATGATATTGGTTGTGGTAAGGGAAATGAACTATTGCCAGTGATGGTTTGTGAGTGTAATGTACACAGATGAAAGTATGAATTGTCCAAATGTGTGTAATGTGATGAGTAATTATATGGAAGACTCGATGTACAATTCATTAGACAATGAGTAGGATGTGTTTGTAGTGAATCGGGATACTTAGGCTCCGATTTGATATAAGAGCTTGTTTGATCAACGTTACCGCAATCGCAACACATCGAACATGAACTATTTTTAGCATTATATTGCCTATTGTAGTATTCATAGGAAGTCGATGGTGGTGACTGATATACTTGAAAATGATCGATATCTTTATCTTTAATAGAAGATGGAAATTCTTTTTCAAATAGAACTTGTTTTCGACTAAATATCATTGATGATGAAGAAGATGTACGTTTTAATGACGAATGATCTAGTGATCCGACCGATGAAATAGTAGCTGTCGTTGGTGTTAATGACTCTGTAACCATTGAGTTTTCGTCATCTTCATCAGATAAAAATAAATTATTAATACCAAATTGAGAAAGATCATCAGAAGATTTTATACGAGATATTTGCTCATAGTCAATCATTCCTAATGATTTTATTCGTTCTGCTTGATCGTAAACATTTGGAGTTTCTAATATTAACGATGGATCACGTAAATGAGCTGTCTCTTGCATTAATCGTTCAAGTTCCGTTGAATGCTACAATAAGGAAGAAGAATATAAATAAATTTGATTGAATCTATATTAAATAAAACTGAATAATTTTGCTAGTATCATAAAATATCTCTTCCAAAAAAAGTGAGTAGTTACTATAATATGGATGCTGAGATTTGTGATAGGTTCACCTCAGAATGTACAAGACAAAATAGACGGTGATCCTATTAGACATGATCCATAATCTGTAGATAAGAACTGAAACACTCATAGAGACCTTCAAAAACAGAATAACGGATAAAAGAAACTAAAGTCCGAAACTTACCATTTTTACAGTTAAACAAAAATCGTTTTCATTTGTTAACACAGATGATGTCTTTGTTATTGATTTTATTAAACATGAGTCGTTGGTAATGTTTTTCGTATTAAAATCATCAAGCATTGAACGTTTTAAGTAAATTTTTTTCATTTTTTTCTCTTTTTCGCTCTTGCGTTCTGTTTTCTTCTGTAATAATATATACAAAGAGATATCGGATGGATCTTACCAACAGTTAACTAACAGAATTTTTTTTTATTATTGATAAACTATACGCTATTGGTGGATCCACTCCGAAAGTATCTCATTATAACGATGTGAGCTTTCTAAGCCATATGAAAAAGAAATATATAGATCATCTAAAATAGGTAAAGTAATAACAGATAATTATATTCAGTCGCTTTATGCATAACAGGAGAAACAATGTTTGTTTGTTGTATTTCGAATGCCGGTTTTTTGTAGCACAAAAAAAGATGCTTAACAGCTTGACATTTAAGTTTTAGTTGTTTTTTAAGTTGCTTCAAGGGGTCAGGGTTTGCCATCGGATGCGTCGCATTTGACTGTACATTCTCACATGTTAAACTAAAATAGAGGATCTTTACTTTGCATATTTTCAAGATCACTAATATTGTGAGTAGAAACACTTCGAGTGGAAAATTTCAGTACTTTATACTCAAAACATTAGTGGTATTGAAATATACAAAGAAGATTCTCTATTTTAGTTTAACACTCTAAGAATGTACAGTCGAATGCGGCGCATTAGGTGGCAAAACCCGACCGGACGAGGAAGAAAGAACCTTGTCCGAATCAAGAAAGGAGTAAGAAGATATACATATATACAAGAAAAATATATTGGCATTGAGAACCTAACAAATAAGGAGATATCACTTTTCGCACAAGATAAACCTGGTGTGGACACTATCCATATCTGACTTGAATAGAATAAAGCAGATGATTAGACGCATTTGATGATTACTCTCTTCATACCTTTTGTTTCTATACTGATTACACTCTGAAATCCAGATAGTTTCTTATCAATTACGCAGTTATTTACCTGAAACCTATATCATATTTTACGTATGTCATATGACATTTGCAAACTTATCATGCGTAACATAGACGACCGCAATAAAAGATGTGTGAGACCAAGTATTTTTATCTTTTTAGACTGGTTACCGTAAACTAGTTACCAATTCTTTTCAAAAGAACGAGAACTGCTGCCAGTTCTTTTTCAAAAGAACGGGAACTAGTACCAGTTCTTTTCAAAAAGTTAAAATTGAAATAAAACCGGTGAATCTACTTACATTGACTTTGTGTAGTACGCCAGAGGTAGATGGTGTGTTTAGTTGACTAAACCAAGTCAATATAACTAGCCACATCGGTTTTATTTTATTTTGAATCCTTGAAAAGAACTGATAACCAGTTCCTGTTGTTTTGAAAAGAACTGGTAACCAGCTCCCGTTCATCAGGAACTGAACTACTATCCGTTCCAAATGGTTAGACCGCTGGTTGCTTTTTGAATAACTTTTGATAGGAATGAGATAGAGACATGCGATTTTCGCTGTTCAATAGCCAAGATTTGAGCAGAACTTTCCACAAGCGGAAGCAACTTTTGAAAAAATTCCAGAGATCGGGTTTTCAGAGGATCTTTGGAAAACCAGCTTCGTTCTCAGAAAACTAACATAGAATGTTATTTTCGCGTGGGGCTAACTAGGGTGACCCGACTATACTGGAGTACTGTTACTACGGACTGACGTGATGGAGAACATGTCGCTCTTACTTATTGAATTCGGTGCCGAAATAGAAATATTCTGTTATCAATAGATAGCTGAAGACGTGCTGGTTCTGAATATCTGCTTTGAAATCGCG